TGGGGGTGGGGGAAGGGGAAAGTAGAGAGAGAAAGAAGGAGGAAGACGTGGGGGAAAGGAAGAGCAGAGAGAGAGAGAAGAAGGGAGGGGGATGGGGTCTTGGTGTGTGCCACACCTTTTGGGGGTAAGCCATGATTGTAAAAGGGACTTTACCTAACAAATGCAATCAGTTTAACCTGGAGAAAAAAAAAAAAAGAAAATCCAAATTTCCAATGACATAGGTAATTTTTTCTCTACTTTTCTGAAATATCCAAGTTTTCTATAATAAATGTGTATGTATTTATAGTGAAAAAATAAATCAATAGAGGTGAAAGCAATTAAGTGTGGTATGTGAAGCTATGTGTGGACAGAAATATATTTCTCTTGGGCAATTTTTTTTCACGAGGCACTAGATAACGCTGCAAGTCTATCCTTCAAAGGGTTGCCCTGCAACCTGGCGAAAGAGCGAGCCACCATCGTCCCAGTCTCAGGGGCGGAGCCGGGCTTTGGGAGGCGCCTGCGCATTGGGCTCACCGGATATACGCAAGAGCGTGGGGCGGGGGCGCTGGGTAACCCAGGCAACAGCCCGGAAGCCGCAGGCTTAGCTAATCTGTGGCGGGCTCCGCGGTTCCTGAACCTGAAGTTTTAGTCGCCGTGAGGACTGTAGAGGAGGAGTCGGGAAACGGCAAGGCAGGTGGAGATGATGGCGCGCAGGCCTGCAGCCCGCAGCCCCACTGAACCTTAGGCACCGGGGCGACAAATAGGGCGGGGAGAACGGTGGTGGCGTCCCTGTTCCCCGGGGATCCAGGCGCCTGAGTCGGGAAGTCCTTACTAGAAAGCGCAGTCGCAGCACCGTGTAGTTTGAGAGTGTACACGCGTGTCAGGCACCGCTTTAGGGCCCTTTTGCACAGCGGTAGAAACTGAGCGTACTCGATAGTCGCTTTCAAATAGTTTACAATCCAGGGTACATTGGGACTGGGTCTTTTAAATTAATGAATGTCCAAGAGGGGGTTCTTAAACTGTGTGAAGGTGTTTTGAGGAGTGCACGGAGTTAACCCGGTGTAGGAGGGAGTGAAAGTCTGAAGGTTGTTCCAAGCAGAGGATGTGTGGGAGATGTGAGAAGAGACTGAAGGGCAAGGTCCTCCCGGCATCAACTTGTGGGGGAGGATCTGAATGTCAGTGAACTGTATTCCTCTCTCCAGTGGGGAGACATTCACATCTTTAGGGGAAGTAAGTAAACAGGTAAAGGCTACAAACCATGCATATATATCTGGGTAGGACTGATTGAAGGGACAGTGTTTGGGATGAGTTCTGTTTCTCTTTAATTAGTTTTCCACACTAGTCAGAGTGGATTTGCTAAATCTCTTCATAACTCTCCCTGCTTAAAATTTTTCAGCGGCTTCCTTTGGTCTTTGGGGTAGTGTTCAAATTGCTGTGACTCACAGACCATCATCTGTTCTCTGCCTTTCTTTTTAGCCTAGTTAGCCTCTCACACTTCCAGATCTTTGTTAACCAAACTGAACTTCTCAAACTTTTTTGTGGATGCATTTTTCCCTGCCTGGAATGTTCTTTCCCCCGACTAATAATTTTTATTCCTACTTTAGCTCTCAGCTTAAACATTTTTGGGGATTAGGGAGAGGAAGCGGCCTTTTCTTTGTAGAGTAAGTTAAATAATTCATGGCATGTGGAATTTACTTCCCATGTTGCCTTTTCATTGTAATTACGTGTTTAGTTGTGGTCCTCTGAAACTTTAAATTCTGGGAGGGCATAGATTATCCTACTTTCTTGTTGATCTGGTGCCTGGCTCTTGGTAGATGCTTTCAAAATATTTGTTGAATTAATAGATGGATGATGAAGTGAGTGATGAGTGAAAGGGAGATGAATTCAGAGAAATAGTGAGAGTCCAAATGATAATATTTTTAGTAGAGATGGAGAAGAGTAGACAAATGGGAGAGAATTTTTGGGAAAAAAATTTTAAAATGAATAATAGACGGATATCTGATTGACTAAAGACAAAAAGGAGTATAAGATGATACTAAGGTTTTAAATTGGAGCCAATTAGAAGGATGTTAATTCTTTAAGTTCAGCTTAAGTGAGCAGACATTTAGTGAGTCAGCCAGTTATACATCAAGAACAAGTGATCGGAGGGATGTGGATAGTAAATTATATTTTGATACAGTATATTTGAGCTATTTGGAAGATATGCACAGGAGGCAGTTAGTAATGATCATTTGTTGTTTTTGAGAAAAGATGTGAATCGTTGGTTTGGGACTCATTTTCATAGTGTATTTGTGTGTCCAGTACATTCATAACTTTGCTGATGGGACTTTGTGAAATCACTGAGGGAGGTTGTGAATTGCCACGTGATAATCTAGAAAGTAGCTCCAGGACAGCTGGCACTGTGTTAGACTTGTTCATTATTGTATTTCCAAAGCCTAGCCAGTGCCTAGTATGTGGTAAGTGCCCCTGAGCAATTATTGGATGAAAGGGGTGGACATCTAAGGGAAAGATAAGAGGACTGGGATGGAGGTCCTTGACTAAGTTGTATGTGAGAAGGGAGCCAATATAGCTGGGCATTGTGGCAGGCGCCTGTACTCCCAGCTACTTGGGACGCTGAGACTAGAGAATTGCTTAAGCCCAAGAATTTGAGGTTGCTGTGAGCTGTGATGCCACGGCACTCTACCAAGGGTGACCTAGTGAGACTCTCTCTTAAAAAAAATAAAAATAAAAAAGAAAGGAGCCAATAAAGCCTGTGAAGAAAAGGAAAAAAGAATAGAAACATCAGGAGAAAGAGTATCATGGAAGCCACAGGAGGAGAGGGCTTTTAGGAGTTGGCATCTATATAGCTAGAAAGGACTATTAATATTTCAAATTTTCTACAAACAGGCTTAGATTTCCTTCTCTTTTCTTTTCTTTTCTTTCTTTCTTTCTTTTTAGACAGAATCTCAGTATGTCGCCCTTGGTAAAGTGCCATGGTGTCACAGCTCCTAGCAACCTAAACTCTTGGGCTTAAGCGGTTCTCTTGCCTCAGCCTCCCAAGTAGCTGGGATTGTCAGCGCCTGCCACAACACGTGGCTATATTTTTGTTGTAGATGTCTTTGTTGTTTAGCAGACTCTGGCAGTTTTCGAACCTGCCTGCTACGGTATATGTGGTGGGTCCCCTAACCACTGAGGCTATGGGCTCCAAGCCAGGCTTTGATTTTCTTGGCTGTGCTAGTTTTGGTATTGATTTCTTAGCACTGTAAACCAACAGACTATTGCTTGTCTAACATTTTAACAGTAAACTCTACCATCCTTGTGATCTCTGGATTTCTATAGGTGGTACTAAGTTCCTTTGTTAGACCACAAAGTCTAATCCTTGTTTAAGAAAGATATGGTTGCCATTATGGTGATGTTCAACAGAAAAGTTTTCAATGCAGAGATGGAGTCAGAGTTTCTATGTTATAAAACTTTGAGATGTAACTAAGGGTTAGTAAATAGAGGTGCAAAAATAAGTCTGATGGGAAAGGGAAAACCAGAGATGGGATAGCAGCTTAGTTACGTTTTTGTGATCTTTCCATATATAGAACACGATTTAGAGCTGGCCACTAAACTAGTTTCCTATGTAACAAATTACCACAAAAATTTAGTGGTTTAAAACAATTACACATTTACTCTCTCATAATGTGGGTTATGAGTTTGGACATGGCTTGGCTAGATTCTCTGCTAAAGATCTCAAAGCTGTAATCAAGCATTTTCATCTGGAGTCTTAATTAGTAAAAATCCATTTTCAGGTACACTAAGGTTGTTACTAGAATTTATTTCTTTGTAGCTGTTTGAGTAAGCCTCATCCAGCACCCTACTTCCCTCTCACAGCCTCTTACACATTGTGTAGTGGGTGTATGTGTAGTAATAGAGTTTAGAACTGAGTAAGGAGTTTAGAATAGTACCTGGCTTATATTAAGTACTCGGTATGTGTTAGCTGATGCCATCCTTCGCACCACTACCACTGTCGTCATCATTATAACCATCATAAAACTTAAATGTTATTCTCTAACTTGTATGTGACTTATTCTCTTTTGCAGAATTGTAACGTCTAAAAGTAGATACCACATTTAAAGAGCCAATGGGCTTGATAAGAGAGAATATAGTGAACAACTGAGATTGAGGGCAAACTCTTGAGAAACACTTGCATTTAGTCATTTTTATTACAGTAGACAATGATTTTTTAAAAAAAATACTTAAGGAAAATATTAGAGTCTTTGTTTTAGGCTAATTGGAGTGGGGGGGTCAAGTTGGCTGGAAAGTTCTATAATTAGGTAGGTAGGTAAAAGCATTCCAGAATGGGAGTCATGTGTGTTATTTTAAGTCATATACATGTGTTATAAAATCTTAGTGTTTGGGGACTATGGGTCTTTTTTCTAATTTTGTATAATGTTTAATCCAGTATCCTTAGCATTACTGTTTTAAGAGTGCCAAGCTAATGTTGGCAATTTACAAATTCTAGTTTAAAATCTGTAATTAGCTTTTTTTTAGTCTTTATTAGAAGTGGCATCATACCTTATTTTTTCTCTAAAGTTTAGCTCCCTTTATTTTAAGGTAAGCACATCTGTACTTGATAGTGATTTTGAGTGTCAGGGTGCTTAAAAAAGAACTCCAGCTCTCTTTTGCCCTTTTCTCCCTTCACGTTGAATTCATAGTATTAGCATATGACTAGTTCTCTAATAATTATGAATTTGTATAACTGATAACAAAGTTTATAACTGCAGTCCTAGTTCTCTGTGGTAGACCATAATTTCTGCATTCTTTATCAGGCAAATATATGTAAGTTATTGATATGATGCTTCTTTTATTATAGTTATTTGTACCAACTTTATATTAGTTGTAAAATGAGAAAACCAAGTATTTTAATAGCTTGTTCTTTTGATCATGCTAAAATTTTTCTTCAGATATTTTAGGATTCATTTCGTTTTTCCTAAATTTCTTTTTTCCTTTTCTGGCAAAGTTTAATTATTACTTTTTCTTGTATTTTAAGAATTTGATGTAATTATTACTCCTAGATGTCATTTGTCAGAGTGAACCGTTATAGTCCCCGGGGAGGTGGAAGAAAAACACTGAAAGTAAAGAAGAAGAAAACTGCAGTGAAGCAAGAATGGGATGTAAGTCTAGGTGGGATGGTAAGCAAGGTAGCGTTCCTCTGGAGGAACAGACTCGTGACATGGTCCTAGTCACCAAGAATGGTGTTCTGAATGGGGCTCAGCATGTCATGGGGTGGAATGGGTTTCTGGGCATGCTCTTTCTGTCCTAGGTCTTTAAGGGTAGAGCAGAATCCTTTCGGGGAGGTTTTTAGAATATACATGTCTAGGCTGTAACATCCATCTCCTTTGAAGAATTGGAATCTTAAAGGGGTGGGGAACATATTTTATTTATTTTCTTTTTCTTTTTTCTTTTTTTATTATTTGGGATTCATTGAGAGTACAAAGAATTAGGTTATGACGATTGCATTTGTTAGGTAAATTCCCTCTTATAATTGTGTCCTGGCCTGGTGTCCGTACCACAGTGGTTACAGTGCCAGTCACATGCACCTGACATGGTGGGTTCGAGCTTGGCCTGGACCAGCTAAACAACAATGACAACTGCAACAAGAAAATAGCTGGGTGTTGTGGTGGGCCCCTGTAGTCTGAGGTACTTGGGAAGCTGAGGCAAGAGATTTGCTTAAGCCCAAGAGTTTGAGGTTGCTATGAGTTGTGATGGCACGGCAGTCTACTGAGGATGACATAGTGAGACTCTTGCCTCAAAAAAAAAAAAAAAATTGTGTCCTGCACCCAAGAGGTGTGTCATATACCGTAAGCCCCTAATCCTTTCCTCCTCTTTCCCCACTCTCTCATTCTCCTACCCCCCCCACCATGTATTAGGTCATCTGTTGTCTTCATATCAGAATTAAGTACATTGGATTCTTGCTTCTCCATTCCGTGATGCTTTACTAAGAATACATTCCACCTCCATCTGGGTTAATACAAATGATGTAAAGTCTCCATCTCTTTTAATGGCTGAATAGTATTCCATGGTTTATATATTTACCACAGCTTGTTAAACCATTCCTGGATTGGTGGACATTTAGATTGTTCTCACAATTTGGTGATTATAACTTGAGCTGTGATAAACAGTCTAATACAAATGTCTTTGTGATAATGAGATTTTTTTTATTCTGTGTAGATGCCCAGTAATGGGATTGCAGGGTCAAATGGGAGGTCTATTTTGAGATGGGAATATATTTTAAAAAAATCTCTCCACTTGATTGAGAGCTCATTTCATAAGGCAACTTTAGGTCACTTAGGTAACTGAAGTCTGTGAGTTTTTTGGGTACTTTTTCCAGATGTTTCCATAATAACTAGTGACACCATAACCATATGATTGCCATTTTTGGCTGAAAAAATAAATGGTCTTTATTGTCTTATCCTTTAAATTGTTGCTTACCTCCAGGGACTGGCCAGTTTCAGGGCAGATATTCTCTTAAGAGATAAAACAAATCTCAAGTACCTGGGACATATGATCTCTGGTTCCTAACCTGACTATCACCTTGTATTATCAAGGGTGTTTATTACACTTTGATAATTTGGTTTAGACCATGATATTTTAAATGCCTTTGCTTTCTGTTGTACAGGATAACTAGTAACTAGTCAGGGACTAGTTTGAATCTCAGACAGTCTTTTGGACTTGAAACCTGGTTTTGCAGGTCATCACCTTAGCCAGGTATCTTGTGCAAACTGAAAGCTTTTGGAAGTGAAGCAGAGGTACTTCTCTGTGCTAAGATTGTTTTGTTGTCATCTGATCAGTTATAAAATATTATAAAGTTGTGGGTCTAAGGTAATGAAACCAATTAAGAGGGGGAAAAAAGTACAGGTAATGTAAGTATTGACCCCTTCAAAGTAGTTACTTTTCAGTACAGTTGACCTTGGCGTAACACAAGTTTGAATTGTGCAGATCCACTTATATGTGCAATTTTTTTTTTGATAAATATATTTGGTTCTTTGTATTTGTGGGTTCCACCTCCATAACCAAAGGTGGATTGTAAATATGATACCCTTGGGATGCAAAACCTATATATATGGAGGGCGAATTGGAGGATTTGAGTATACATGGATTTTGCTATATTCAGGGGTCCTGGAACCAATCCTTTGGATACTGTGAAATGACTATATTTTTTCCTATATGCTGCTGTTGCTTAAAACTTAATTGAAACCCATTATTCCATTATTTGAAATTGCATTAAAAACCTTTCTTGCTTTATGTTTTATCTCAGTGCTGGAAAATTTTGTTTTTTGAATAGAAAATGGTCATAAGTCATTTGGAGTGGATGGCAAATGAGAGAGAAGAGATCAAACGGAATAATATATATATATATTTTAAGTGAAAGCACAAGATTTTATTATAGATAAAAAGTGGATAGGAAAGTTTCCAGTATAAAGGAAGGGGTCTTGAACAGGTCCTGGATAAACATTGTTTTGATAAAAATCATGGGACATTTTCTAAAATGGCTTGTAAATTGAAGGCAATTTCAGAAGAAAATAGTTTTAAGCACAGTAGTATTAATGACTATTCTATTTTCTTCCTTGAGAACTAATTCCAGGAATATTGCTTATTTGTATATCTGAATTATTTTATAATTATTAAAATCAATTCTCATGATCCTATAGTTTTACCTTGTACCTCTTTTTTTTTTTTTTTTGCTCATAGAGACAGGGTCTTGATATGTTGCTCAGCTGGACTCAAACTCCTGGCCTCGAGAGATCCTTCCTGTCTCAGCCTCTTGAGTAGCTGGGACTAGCGCCTAGCTACCTCCACTGTGCTCAGCTTATGCCTATGCCTTTCTAGATGGATGTAAAAGGAGTAACAGTTTCCATGTAGAAAAGTCTTTACCTAAATGGAATCATGGCCAGAATTTTACTCTTTGAATAGTCAGAAGCTATTTTGATTGAGTACTCTTTGTATTTCTCCTCACTTAGAAGTAAAACTTACCTTAACCTGTTTTATTTCCTGCCTTACCAGATTTGTGTAGGAAAATGCCTGAAGTTGTTTTGGAAAGGGCTAAGTTGCAAGACTACTACTTAAAGCTGTGTAGGCTATACATCACACAGTTCCAAGGGCTGCTATTTACATGGATTTGGGTATTAATGGAGTCTTGGAGTTGAGGGGTGTGGTAGCCCTGTCATGTTAGTTTAGTGTCTTTTTTTTTTTTCCTGAGACAGTCTCAAGCTGGGTAGAGTGCCATGGCATCACAGCTCACAGCAATCTCAAACTCTTGGGCTTAAGCGACTCTCTTGCCTTAGCCTCCCAAGTAGCTGGGACTACAGGGGCCTGCCACAACACCTGGCTATTTTTTGGCTGCGGTTGTCATCGTTGTTTAGCAGGTCTGGGATGGGTTCTGACCCGCCACCCTTGGTGTATGTGGCCCGTGCCCTGCCAGCTGAGCTACAGGAACCGCCAGTTTAGTGTCTGTTTATTTGAGTGACTGTTTTTACATATTATGAAATTATGGATTGTCCTCAAACTTCATCTCTCATTGTAGTAGTTTCTGTGCTAAAGGTGTTTATGGAAACAAGTTGAACCTCTCTATGGTGATTATACTTTTTTAAAGGAATCTCTAGAGTTGCCTCATGGAACCCTGGGATTCCATGGAATACAGTTTGAAAACTAAACTTTAGTTAAACTTACTCATTTTGAATATATACTATCCTCTTTTATTCATCGTTTTAACACTATATATGCTTGCATGGTGAATTCCATGCTTATTTTCTGTAAGACACCTAAAAATAGTCTTTTGTTTTCTATGAGATACCTGAAAGTAATCTGTGCTAATATTTAAATTGAGAATACTGGCTCCTGGAAAGAAAGCACTTTGGCCCCGGATTTTGGAACTGTTTCAACCATAAAATCCAGTAAATGCTAATGTTTTATGAGACAACTTTTTTTTTTTAAAGAAAGGTCATCTTTTTTTGCAGAATACTGTGAATGATCTGACAGTTCACCGGGCAACTCCTGAAGATCTGGTAAGTTTAACATTGAAAATTAAGTCATTTATTCAGTGTTGTATTTGATATTTGACTTTTAACCTTCAGAGTAGAAACCATAGGCTCTTCCTGGAAGTTGTTCAGTTATATTTAATCTTGCTTATGGGTGTACACATATAAAATCAAAAAGCATATCTTCTGGACTTCCTGATTTTCCCCAGGAATATCAATTAGTATGTATTAGAATTTCATTAGATATTAAGTTTATACTCAAATCTCTCTCATCTAATATTGCCCTGTATATATCTATCTCTTTTTAAAAAATATATAGATATCTTCAGCATTATTTATTATTTCCGTATGTAAACACATTGGTTTAGTCAATGTAGTAATTTATCCCTTGAACATGTCATGTGGTATTTCACATTCATGCTATTTTCCTAACTTGGAACAGTTTTCTTATCTTCTCTTCCTGTCCAAATCTTACTTTAGTTCTTTATCCTGGTTCAAATCTACTTTTTAACAAGTTTCCACTACAGATTTTTTTATAAAGACAGCTTTTTTGAGACATAATTCACATCACATGCTGTCATACTTACTCTTTTAAAGTGCCCTGTGCAGTGATTTTTGGTTTTTTTTTTTTTGGAGAGCCTCAAGCTGTTGCCCTGGGTAGAGTGCTGTGGCATCACAGCTCATAGCAGCCTTCAACTCCTGGGCTCAAGCAATTCTCCTGCCTCCACCTCCTAAGTAGCTGGGACTTCAGGTGCCCGCCACAACACCCAGTTATTTTTTGGTTGCAGCTGTCATTGTTGTTCGGTGGGCCCGGGCTGGATTCAAACCCACCAGCTCGGTGTATGTGGCTGGCACCTTAGCTGCTTGAGCTGCAGGTGCCAAGCCACTGTTCAGTGATTTTTAGTATAAAGTTGTGTAACCACTGTGACTAAGAACATTTGCATTACCCTAAAATGTGACTCTGTGCCACTAACAGTCACTCCCTAAGCCCACCTTTCCCAGTTTGCAGCATTGTCTATTGTATTGTCTTTGCTGATATCTTTGACACTTCATAAATGGAATATAATATGTAGACTTTTGTTTTTAGCTTCTTTCTCTTAGCATAATGTTTTTAAGGTTCATCTATATTGTAATATATATCAGTATTTTATTCCTTATTTATTTTTTTTTTTTTGAGACTAAATCTCACTCTTGCTCAGGCTGGTCTCAAGCTCCCTAGATCAAGGGATCCTCCTACCTTTTCCTCCCACAGTGTAGGGTCATAGGCATGAGCTCCTGTTCCCAGCCAGGACTTTATTCCTTATTATTGCTGACTAATATTCCCTTGTATAGATAAACCATATTTCATTTATCCATTTGTTAGTTGGTGGACATTTGGGTTGTTTTTATTTTTTGACTATTATGAATAAGTTTTTGTGTAAGCATATGTTGCCAGTTCTTTTGTGTGTATATCTAGGTGTAGAATTGCTGGGCCATATGGTATCGCCATATTTAATTTTCTGAATAACTGCAAAATTGTTTTCCAAAGTAGCTGTACCATTTACCACCAGCATGTGTGAGGCTTCCAGTTTCTCCACATCATTATTGTTGTCACTTTTTAAATTTTAGTTCTGCTGGTGGGTATTAATAGCTGTTTCATTGTGGTCTTGATTTGCATTTCCCTAATGACAAATGATGTTAGGCATATTTTCATGTGCTTATTGACCATTTGTAGTATCTTCTTTGAAGAAATGTCTATTCAACTCCCTTAGTTGTTTTTAAATTGAATTATTTGCATTTTTTATCATTGAATTGTAAGAGTTCTTTTTATAAACTGAATATAAGCTCTTTATCAGGTATGATTTGCAAATATTTTCTCTCATTTTCTTCGTTGTTTCACTTTTTTGATGGTGTCCTTTAAGCATGAATCATTTTCATTTTGATGAAGTCAGATTAGTTTTTCTTTTATATCTAAGAAACTATTAATATTGTTTAACACAAAAGTCACGAAGATTTACTCCTATGTTTTCTTCTGAGACAATGTATGTCATCTGTCTTTTTATGGATATGCCCTATCCTCCTAGCAGATTGTCAATGCTGTTGAGAAAAAGGGACCATATCTTACACATCTTTGTGTACCTTCCCAGATGTCTGAGTCCCAGTAAGAGCTCAGTAAATATTTATTGAGACTAATAATGATGTCCCACTGACTTAACATATTTTTAAATGAAAAATTTTAAATTCAAGTGAAATAGAAACAAAGATATAAAGAACTCCCATTATTGTTTACTGTTAAAGTGATTAAAATATTACCATAGTTGCTTCATTTATCATACTCTTTTCTTACTTTGCTGAAATATTTTAAAGCAAATTCCAGAGAATAAATCATTTTGTGCCTAAACTATGTATATTCAGTTTGCATTTTAAAAACTGTAAACTTTTTTTGTTGTTGTTGTACAATTGTACTACATAGGTGGTTTATTGCAAAATGAAAAGTGAGTTACCAAATAACATAAATAATTTTAAATATATACCATAGTATAAATGGTTTTACTATTTCTTTCTTTTTTTTTTTTTTCATTCTTTCTTT